TCTGAAGGAAGCAGACTGCTCCTGCAGGACCCGAGAGACACCCCAAATATTCTGAGAGGTGGAAAGCCTCGGGCAAGTTTTCAAGCCCAACTCGCCCTGGGCCTGGAAACAGACTAGGGGCTGTTGTGGGGAGGGCAGTGGGGGTGAGACCAGCCCTTCAGTTTTCATGGGAGCTGAATGAGGCCTGTGACTGGTGGCTTTCCCCAACTTCCCTGACAACCTGCATGACTCAGCAAAGGCAGCTATAATCCTCCTAGGTACACAACTCCAGTGACCTAGGAATCTCATTCCCCTTCCCCATATTAGCTGCAGCAAGACTGACCTAAGGGTAGTCTGAGCTCTGACACAGCTAGCCCTGCCCCCAACTGATGGTCCTTCCCTACCCACCCTGGTAGCAAAAGACAAAGGACATATAATCTTGGGAGTTCCAGGGCCCCACCCACTGCTGGTCCCTTTCCATACAGCTGATGCGTTCTGGAAAGCACCACCTCCTTGCAGAAGGCCAACCAGCACAAAAATGGAGCATTAAACCACCAAAGCTAAGAACCCTCATGGAGTCCATTGCACCTTCTGCCACTCCACCGGAATAGGTGCTGGTATCCATGATGGAGAGACCCACAGACAGTTCACATCACAAGACTGTTCAGAAACCCCCAGTACCAGCCTGGAGCTGAGTAGACTCGCTGGGTGGCTAGTCCCAGAAGAGCGACAACAGTCACTGCAGTTCGGCTCACAGGAAGCCACATCCACAGGAAAAGGGGGAGAGTACTACATCAAGGGAACACCTCGTGGGACAAAAGAATCTGAACAACAGCCTTCAGCCCTTGACTTTCCCTCTGACAGAGCCTACCCAAATGAGAAGGAACCAGAAAACCAACCCTAGTAATATAACAAAATGAGGCTCTTCAGCGCCCCCCAAAATCACTAGTTCACCAGCAATGGATCCAAACCAAGAAAGCCCTGATTTACCTGAAAAAGAATTTAAGAGGTTAGTTATTAAGCTAATCAGGGAGGAACCAGAGAAAGGTGAAGTCCAGTGCAAGGAAATCCAAAAAAAAATGGTACAAGAAGTGAAGGGAGAAATATTCAAGGAAATAGCTAAAAGAAAAACAATCAAAAATTCAGTAAACTTTGGACATGCTTTTAGAAATGCTAAATGCTCTGGAAAGTCTCAGCCATAGAATTGAACAAGTAGAAGAAAGAAATTCAGAACTTGAAGACATGGTCTTTGAATTAACACAATCCAACAGAGACAAAGAAAAAAAGAATATGAAAATATGAACAAAGCCTCCAAGAAGTGTGGGATTATGTTAAACAACCAAACCTAAGAATAATCGGTGTTCCTGAGGAAGAAGACAGTTCTAAAAGCTTGGAAAACATATTTGGGGGAATAATTGAGGAAAACTTCCCTGGCCTTGCTAGAGACCTAGACATACAAGTACAAGAAGCACAAAGAACACCTGGGGAATTCATTGCAAAAAGATTTTCACTTAGGCACATTGCTATCAGGTTATCCAAAGTTAAGATGAAGGAAAGAATCTTAAGAGCTGTGACAGCAGATTTCTCAGCAAAAGCCTGCAAGCTAGAAAGGATTGGAGGGTCCTATCTTCAGCCTCCTCAAACAAAACAATTATAAGCCAGTAATTTTGTATCTAGCGAAACTAAGCATCATAAATGAAGGAAAGATACACTCATTTTCAGATAAACAAATGCTGAGAGAATTCACCGTTACCAAGCCACCACTGCAAGAACAGCTAAAAGGTGCTCTAAATCTTGAAACAAATTCTGGAAACACATCAAAACAAAATCTCTTTAAAACATAAATCACACAGGACCTATAAAACAAAAATATAAGTTAAAAATCAAAACAATAAAAAGTAGACAGTCAACAAAGAGCATGATGAATGCAATGGTACCTCACATTTCAATGCTAGCATTGGATGTAAATGGCCTAAATGCTCCACTTAAAAAAGGTAGAGAACCGCAGAATGGATGAGAACTCACAAACTATCTGCTGCCTTCAGGAGACACACCTAACAAATAAGGACTCACATAAACTTAAAGTAAAGGGGTGGAAAAAGGCATTTTATGCAAATGGACACCAAAAGCAAGCAGGGGTAGCTATTCTTGTATCAGGCAAAAAAAACTTTAAAGCAACAGTGGTTGAAAGAGACAAAGAGGGACATTGTATAATGGTAAAAGGCCTTGTCCAACAGGAAAATATCACAATGCATCTAATACTGGAGCTCCCAAATTTATAAAACAATTACTAATAGACCTAAGAAGTGAGATCGACAGCAACACAATAATAGTGGAGGACTTCAGTACTCCACTGACAGCATTAGACAGGTCTTCAAGACAGAAAGTCAACAAAGAAACAATGGATTTAACTGGATTTAAACTGTACCTTGGAATAAATGAACATAACAGATATAAACAGAACATTTCATCCAACAACTGCAGAATACACATTCTATTCAACAGCACATGGAACTTTCTCCAAGATAGATCATATGATAGGCCATAAAATGAGCCTCAATAAATTTAAGAAAATTGAAATTATATCAAGCACTCTGTCAGACTGCAGTGGAATAAAACTGGAAATCAACTCTAGAAGGAACCTTCAAAACCACACAAATACATGGAAGTTAAATAACCTGCTCCTGAATGAGCATTGGGTCAAAAATGAAATCAAGATGGAAATTTAAAAATTGTTTGAACTGAATGACAATAATGACACAACCTATCCAAACGTCTGGAATACAGCTAAGGCAAAGCTAAGAGGAAGGTTCATGGCCCTAAACACCTACATCAAAAAGTCTGAAAGAGCACAAACAGACAATGTAAGGTCACACCTGAAGGAACTAGAGAAACAAGAATAAACCAAACCCAGCAGAAGAAAGGAAATAACTGAGATCAGAGCAGAACTAAATGAAATTTGAACAACAACAACAACAAAAATACACAAGATAAATGAAACAAAAAGCTGGTTCTTTGAAAAGATAAATAAAATTGATAGATCATTCCAGGCATGGTGGTTCATGCCAATAATCCCAGCACTTTGGGAGGCTGAGGTGGGCAGATCACCTGAGGTCGGGAGTTTGAGTCCAGCCTGACCAACATGGAGAAACCCCGTCTCTACTAAAAATGCAAAAAAAAAAAAGCTGGGCATGGTGGATTGGTGGATGGTGG